GCCCCCCCCCCCCCCCCCCCCAGCTACCCCATTAATAGGGGGGTAGCTGCAAAAAAATAAATAAATATAATAAATATAATAAAAAACAGAAACAAAAACAAAAACAAAACAAAACAAAAAAATGGAGTAGCTGCATTAACAGGGTTTTCTTATAAGAAAATGTATCCATGGGCATTTTGCCAAAAGGACGAAAAAAGTGGTTGTAATAATGAGATGACCGTATTATCAAGGTGATTGTAAGGTGGGGTTCCACTGTATCTACCATGCAAGTCAGTAAACAAATGATTTTTCTGTCATTAGTCTCTTGCTGAAAATTTGTGATTCATTGTGTTTGATCAGTCTGTCATTTAAGAAATAAGATTCACATTTTTAAAGGTATATTTTTAAGGGAGGTTATTTAATACATGTACGTGTAGTTCACTTGTACATAGCTTACATTTGCCATTCACTCACTCTAACTTTGGAGATTAAAACAGAGGCATTTTGTCCCTCGGTACTATTAGCACTTGGCTGGAATGTGAAATTCTGTTTGAAAAAATGAAAAAATAATATGCAAAATGGAACATTTCTCACAAGTCTGATAATTTACAGCCACTACTGCAGTAACTCAGTGGTTTCATTAGCGCCTGGGCACCTGGCAAATTAACCGCCTATGAGGATGATTTTGCCCACCTGGTCTGACCATCTTCGGGAATGTTTTTCTAAAAAAAGACGATCTGTTCATGACAAAATGTTTGCCCGCCTGTGAAAACCATTTTGCCTTCCTGTTGAAAACATTAATGAAACCCCTGCTAACTTTCTCTTGATCAGACTGCTATCTGCACAGTGTGTCCTAGGAAATGCTGATCAGGATTTAATTGTCCCTGAAGATGTAACATTTCAAATGTTGTTTTTCACGACCAAATTCAATCTATAGTGTCAAGATGAGTAATTAAATATTCTAACGAATCTTACCCAGTCATGAAAGAAGTGTTTGATGAAAATATTTCTGGAACTAATGGTAACATAAATTGTACCAAGGCACATGAATATACAGAATGATATAAAATATCTGTGATTGAAATGACCAACACAGTTATTTATCCATGCTGTTACAGCGTAAATAAGGTCAAGGAAACCACTAATATAAATTAAACTTTTCAATAATACATGTATTTCATTAAAAAATACTGTTCAGTAGTTACATTATGTACACAATAACATAGGTATACATGAAGGACAAATCAAGCTTAGTCCATTAACAAATTGGTCTTTGAATGGCACCAATGAACATTCAAAGACCAATGAGTAGATGGACTGAAGTCTTCGTTTCAATATATTGTGACAACTTAAATTGGATCTAACTGACTATAGACCCCTAGTAGAATGTCAATATATGTAGTAGACAGTGGCCTAGTGAGTGAATTGCTGGACTCATGGGACAGACTGTCGTGTTCTTCAGTAAGTCGAGAGATTTAACAGGATTCATAGTTACCAGTCATTTGTCAGCCCATTCGGAGATCTTAATCAGAATTGAGATGACCAGCTGATAAGGCATGCTCGTCAACTGTGCTTTCAGTTTTTTTTTGGAAGTACATATACAAAGTTTTAAAATCACCTTTTTGGTAGCCACTGCTTGATTGTTAATTAAAAATAACGTATCTCTAGATATGTAAGCCTAGTCAACATTTTACCTACACACCAATTCACTAGCTACATGAACCAAAATATTTTATGATGCCGCTCACAAAACATTCATTTATAAATAATTATGTCAAGTGCAACATATTAGCCCTGTCAATACTTACCAGCCGCCTGCTATTTTAGTTTTCTGTAAATTATTTGCTGCAAACTTTACACCAGTTGACATTCACTAATCCTGACTAACAACAAATCCATCACTGGCCTGCTACAATAACTCCAAAAAATGACAATGCTATAGTACGTACATATGTATGGAAGTTCTGTTCTACTAGCCAAGAAGAAAAGTGCTACTAGGGAGTCAGGACCATGAATTTTCTCACATAATTCTTCAGTAAGCATCAATAAAACTTTTAAATCCTTAGCAGCCAAATTTTTCATACAGTGAAACCTGTATTAAGTGGACACCCTTGGGAAACTCACCGATGGCCGCCTAATACAGGGTGTCTGCTCTAAGTAGGCTCTAACATATTGTGTAATATTCTAATGGTTAATTATCAACCCTTTTATAACACAGTGTAGCACAGTCAGTGTAAGACTGCTCATAGCACAATGTCCAGTCAGTCAGTGCATCAATCTGGTCAGAATAATCTAGACTGAAAATTAAGTCTAGATTAAGTTTTAAAATGACATTGCTAAACAATGTTAAAGGAGTCTGAGCTGAGCTTTTAGAAGTAAAAAGCTCTGTAATGCCTGCTCATTGCAGGTTTTGTGCAACAAAATGGCTTAATATTGGTGTCCATGTCCACGTAACAAAGGTTTCCGCTGAATGCAGGTTTATTTTACAGTAAATGTGGGAAGAAAATTTTGGGACTGATCAAACTGGTGTGCACTTAATAGAGGGTGGCTGCTTAATATGGGGTCTGCTTAACAGCAGTTTCACAGTAATTGTCTAGTTCAGTTAATACATAAAGGATACGACAATGGTGATCCATCTTTAAAACACACCTTGACAGGAAAAGTACAACGTTCAATTAAATTCAATTGTATTATGTAAATTAAAGATATGTGACGTACAATTGCACACTCATGTTGTTACTGTTCTCTATGTGTAAATCTAATTTTAATTTGATACAAATCTTGTCAAACTATTAGAACTTTAAATTATGTGCCATTTCCAAACAACATGTACCCTCTCCAGATGTTCCTAGCTTCAGTGAATAAGAGGTGGATACGAAAAGGAAGTTATTAATAATACACACACCTGAAGTAAAGGTTTGGAGAGAGTTCCATCAACCAAGCAATTTACATATTTCTTCCTGGACCATCATGACTAACTGTTTTAATTTTTTTTAGCTACAAGTAAAATTAATCATCACTCAGACCACAACAGAAATCAAACTGAGGCCCTGAGAGGGGAACACACATATAAAAAGAACAGGGGTGCTCGATATTTTGAAAAGATCCCCTAAGAGGTACCAAGATATTGTTTCATGGGTGTGGCTTGAAATGTTTTTCCACCTCTTTAAAGAGGTACCAATTCTAAAACAACACATTATCTCCTTTCATAGTTCTTCAGCTCAATACCCTAAAAGGTACTGCAAAAGCTCCCGCTGTGGACCTTTTGGGGCTGACCACCCTAACAGGTACCAAAACTGCATTCTTAACCCCTAAAATGTATAACCTAAAAGGGACTATTCTAGTCATTTATGACTGTGTAAATGGTTCCTGAGATGTCCCTCACCTTTTGCATATTGAGCAATGGTGAGATCTTGCAGGTTTAATTTGAATGCCTAAAATCAGTTCAAAGAGTCAGCAAATTAAAACTGATGGCTACATGAAAATGTACATACATGTAAATTCAGGTGTCCTGCAAGCTATCTTGTATATTACATGACTGTACAAGTATGAACATCTACATGAATTTTTATGCCTTATATATCATATTTGAAGAGGTACTAACATAAGCAAAAATGCATGGAAGAATTCAAACATCCATCATCTTTATTTCGCGACAGGAATATTATCAACATAATTAGATGGTATATGTACAACACAAGTAACTCAAAAGAGGCAGGAGCCTTCAACAAGCCCTTTTGGGCTTTACAGGGAGAACCCCTGTCACAATTTTGATACCCTACATTTCAGTTCACAACATATGGTGACACGTTAATCAAACAAATGGTTCTACATTATCAAAAGTGGTCAACCAATGCCAATACATTTTTACCTTCTAATTGATTAAGTTGATTGAGTTTGTTTTTTTTAAAATACACACTTACATGTTATATCCACTTAAGTACATGTTTGTATTCTATAAATAATATACCATCTGGTAAGAAAGCTTCTTCTTCTATTTGTTTTCTGAGTATCAGTGGTAGTATCACCAGTGCTGATTGTTTTGTATTTTGATCCTTTCATATGTAACTTGCTCCGTTTAATTTGGGGAGCAAGGGTGGAGGTGATAATGACAAGGTGTTAACATAGGGGAGGGGGCTAAAAAAAGTCTGTTTTTTCCAAAGAAGTTCACAGTTGTTTAATTTTTTGCACCCCTTTCATGGCTGCTCTTGCTCTTGCATTGCTCGCACTCTTCAAAAAACATAACTCATAGCAAGAAATGAAAGTTTATGGACAGGCTAAATCATATTTCTTATATACATGTGCACTTACATTTCTTGCAAAGGTGAGATTTCCCACTTTTCAAGTCATCTAGATTTGTATCCTGCTGCAGGTACAATTATTGAAATTTACCATAAATGAATACAATTATGGGAATACAAATCTGCGTACTTAAATAGCAACTTAAGCTATTGCTTAAGTTGCTACATAGACTTTAGGTTACCTGGGGTGCTCTTCCTGGAGACGTGAAGACAACTTTGAAATAATGGAAGACAATATTGATAAGAAGCCAATGAGCTGTTACCAGATGAAGTACTACCCACGGGGTGCTGTATTCCAGAATTACGGGCAACAGGAAGGCATAATAAATAACCACCACTGATGCTGTCAGGCCAATCACAAGAAGAACAAAAGCCTGTTCAAAACATACAACATAGCAACAATGCTTATGAGGAATGCATGGAAAGGACAGTGCATTAGCTATTGATTTAACACTGGGGATAGCCCTGCAATGGACTAGCATCCCATCCAAAGGGGAGTAGAAATACCCCTAGTGCCTTCATGCGGAGATGCAGACATTACCTCTCGCACTTCTCTTTTGATGAATGAAATAATTTGTCTTTACAAGAGACAGTTATAGACAAGTCAACAATAGGCAACGGTGACTGTAATGTAACTTTTGGGTAATCTGTAGGTACATGTAGAAATCGGTATAAAATAATGAAGTGTAAGTAGATGTAATACTGTAAGTAGAGTAAGTAGTTGTATTAGTATTGTAAGTAATGTACGTATATGTATTGTAAATATTACAAGGTGTTGAGTCTCTTGTTTGAAAGACCAACAGCGACGATTGCAATAATATTATAGTTATGCTCGACTATGCCGTCCTCACTTATAAACTGGTTTAGGATATCAAACTTAAAAATGTTTACAACTCCCAAGAGAGTGATGAACATTAACATTCTCCTTTCAATATCAAGACAATAGCAAGCAGACAGGTTATGAGAAGATAGAAAAACATCAATCACAAAGACTGTCTATATGTACAGAGTGTGTAGCATGGTGTGTAGATATTTGGCACCCATAATCAAGTGTGAATTGGAGATTCACTAAGCCCCCCATCCCAATCCCTTAGCCTCTATCCACCCCACCCCTACCCCCAGAGCCACTATATCAATCAGTTCTTATATAAAATGAAATTGTCGATCAATACGTATACGTCATCTGTTTCATTAAGAACTGCTCACCGGTCCAAGGATCCTAACAAAGTGATCAACTATCCAAAACACAGGTTCAAATATCGTGTCAAGAGCAGCTGCTCGCGAAGTTACCGAGTTGAACGTTAGAGAACGTAAAGTGAACAGCAACACTTTCAAACGTTCCATTGAGTTTCTGGTCGTCGATTCCTGTGCGCAAAGATAAGATACCTCCAGTACAACGACTTAGGTGCTTTGAAAGTAGAACCATTTTCTTTTCATGACTCCATCAACGAGGAAAAGAATGTTAAGCGTCCACACTTGCGGGAAACTTTTTCCCGTTTCGCCGCCATTTTGGATTCCATGAGAGCTCTCGGAAGACTGGAAAAGAGCAAGCATTATCTCGTTACCAGACCTCCTTTGACAAACACTCATTGCGCAAGAGGCGAAGTTCCCGTATATTTTTATTTTTTTTGACCGTCCGGCTAGGAGTTTTCGCGCCTTTGAAACGCCCAATCAGAACATACATTCCATTGCCGTTACTCAGGCCGTACTTGTATTTTGGAAAAAGGAAAAAGTGTAGAAGTGAAATCGCGTAGTAGTGCAATCAGTAACTGGCTCCAATTCAAAGGTAGTACTTGGTTACAGGGGTGTCATTACTCTGATGGTAAACTTATTCGACTATAGTTTTACTGAACATCTTAAGAAAATGACAAAAATCTAAAACAAAATCCTCTCTGTTGAAGACAGGAATATGAGTAAGATATTGGTATTTAGAGGTGTTCTATGTGCTGCGTAGAAAACACTCACATGTGCAAAGCACACCTTTGGAAGATTGAACTTGAAGAAAGCATTCACCATCCCTTAAGTTAAAATGAATTTCGATTAAAAGATATTATTTCAAGGTGGTCAACCTTCTAAAGCTGGTAAGATTTTCTGGAATTCGTTACTTTTATGTTTGAGAGTTTCTTCATTGAACAGGCCCTTGTAAAAATAAAAAATAAAAAATAAAAAATTCACCGTTTGTTTATCTTTACCTCACAGATTGCGTTGTATGGGTCGTATTTTAATCAGTCAGGGTTTATTAGTTAGACGTTTGGCAGAATTTGACAAAGTCGCTGAGTTTGTTTCCTTTTCTTGAGTCAACTAATTCGAGGACTGACGAGTAAGGGGTGGGGAGGTATCGTCTGTTACCATCAGATAAAGCAAAATCGTCAATAGAATCATTGGATGATGACACACCAACTTAATAGCAGAGGGGCCCTTCACATTGTCTAGCATAACGCATTGACAATTACTTAAAAGAATCAGTTACAGAGTGACTCAGACGGTACTTAAATTAATCTCGCATTTATCACCGCCCAAGTAATGTGAAAGCTCAGTAGAGCAGTAGTACTGAAATGAACCATGGAGCAGTGCTTTTATCGCCCGCGCCCACAAGTTGTTCTTAACTTTTCAGGTAATGCGATGAATCCCTATTATTTGACTTTTCAAATGAAATATGTCAAGAGACACCTCATTTTCTCTTGAATATGTATATTGAGCAATACTTTCTTCGCAGCTCCGTTTATTCTACTGCATAACAAAATGTTTGTTTAACCTTTATAAGTCAGATTTAGTGGCTCTAATCTAAATCCTATTATATCACCAGTCAATAAAGACTGTTAAGCTGCGGCACTTTCCGTACGGTATCATTTACTTAATCCACAAGGTGCCTAACTTCTACGTTTTAAGTCCATGGATTAATTCCTATTGTATTGCCGTTCAATTAACTGAATTGAAAGATCAAGCCGTTCTTCCATGTGGCATTATTTATCATTCTGCAAAGAGTCATTCTAACCTTCCAGTTCTACATATGGTGGGTAGCTTCCTTACAAATGTGATAACTTGTTTATAATGTATTTTACACTAGCTCTATAGGTTTTCAAAAGAAAAGAGCTTATTGAAGACTTTTCCAAAGTGAAATGTTCCAACCTTATAAGGTCGTGACATTGTTTTTTTCTTGTTTGTAACTTAATATCCATTAAACAGCTGCCTTTTAATCATTTCTTTACGCCATTTTATTCGCCTGTTCTGGAACCAAACGCGGACCTGAGTCTCACTCAGCTGGAGTTCCTCGGCTAACTGCACCCGCTGACTACCCGTGATGTACTGGCGGCGCATAAATTCCCGCTCCATCCTCTGCAGCTGAGTTAAGGTGAACATGGTGCGGGGTCGCTTATGCTTGAAATGATTACACACAAAGCTAGGGTTTTCCTTTGGAACAGGGTCCACGGGCTTGTCATCTAGAAAAATAATCAGAAAGAGTCAGCTCTAGCCCCGAATTATCCTGATAAGAGATACAAATTTGACAAATAGTATATCTATAAAGTGACATTTTCAGCCATTCGCAAGTCTCATAAAAGACACATGATGTATTTGGGAGATATTTTAATAATATGTGAAGACGAGCCTAACGACTTGGTTGGTCTGGAGGATGAATAGAAAATAAGCTCTGTCACTCTCAAATGACCAATTGTTTAACTAATAAATTAAATATGAGACTTTCGAAACAGACGACAATTTTGCTCAATTGTTCACCAGCTCTTTCCGAGTTAAGTTGGAAAGTCCAATAGGGCAGAGAAATGAAAAGATACCACCCACTGGTGGAAAATTGAAAATGTTGGTGCCACTGTCTTGAAATTACCTTAACAGATTTAGCATTAGTCTGTTCAACTGTAATTCTGGGACGCATCATTCGTCTGCCAAAATATGCGGCCATTTTCCGTCATTTAACATTGCACAAACTCAATAATTTCGTTTTGTTTGCCTCTATAAAAACAGTTCTTTTGAAATTGTCGTAGAAAAATTTTGCCCAACGGCTAACGTTGTAAAAAAAAGGAAATTATTGTTTTACCAATTCACGATAGCGAGACCTGGCAAGAAACAGATTAACGGAATTAATATAAATCCGGTGTCTCTGTTCCTCGAAATAATTAATTTCGAGGGGTTTAGCGATGCCTTTTAATGTTTGTAAGGTAACGAACTTGGGTCTTTCAAAAGAATTAACCGATTAGTAACACATAGTACACCGCGGCAAAGAAATCAGTTAAAAGTGACAATAGACAATGATGATAACGGCTCTTTTGAACATTGTTGATTTGAGTGGATATAAGAAAAGCATGGTGAGGTAAGAAATTAGGGAACACTGAATTAGCTAGACCAAAACACAAACTTGGCTGAAATTTTTCACACCTTACAAGTTCGGAAATATGTACAACTGCTAGAATAATTTTATCTTTACCGAGTGGACTTGCCACGCAACAGAAAATGAAAACAAAATTCCCAATTGTTTAGCTTTCCGTTCCTAGTTTTTATTAAGACAGAAATTGTTTCTAACAACAAAGGCACGTATTTTCAATGGAGTTGGGATATTTTATAATACATTCATTCAGAAAATATATACATCGGATAAAGAACGCTCTTCTTTTAAATGATAATATTGTTTTTCCTGCCGTGGCTGAATATTCTTATTTTTCTGTAGATTTTAGGCCAAAAATATTCTTGTGAATATTCTTAGACTATAGCGTATGAAATTTCTGTTTTCGGTTGTATTTGGTGGCTGCATGGATAGCGTTAAAGTAATTTTGCAGCCATTATAGCCTGATATAACTTCTTGCAGAAATGTTATAATTATCATCGAACATACGGCTAGTGCTGCTTTTGTTGCTTTTTGGCTAGTCTTGCCGTTTAGAGAAAGGAAAATTTTATACGGTTTAGTTAAAACCATATAATTGTATCGTATTTACAAAATTTTAACACACAAAATTAGTACATTCTTTTCAAAATCTCAGCCAAAGAGTTATTCTTAAAACACCCTTAAAATTTCGCAAATTTCAGCCTCTATATTCTTATAAAACATATTCTTATAAAAAAGGAAGAGTGCATCGTTACACGCGGTAAGCACGATCTCTTTGTAAGAAATTGTTTTACTCAAGTGTTGTCAGGGGAGGAACAGAAGAAAATTTGGAATGTCATTATTTTGTTGCCCGCGGCTGATAAGACTAATAAAATGTGTTTTCACTTGCTCGTGTACTAGCCAATAAAGATATGACCGAGAAAGACACAAAAACACTGTCATCTTTATTATTAACGATATGAAATTAAAATCCACCCGTTACCATCATTGAACATCTTCGTATTGACCCAAATTTGTTTAAAACATTTCGATTCTCTTTAATGATTTTTGTTCTGCCTAGCCACGCCGCAATGTGCGTCTTTTGATTCAAAATTCCAGAATAATTTCGAAAATGGTATAAACATTTGAACTCTAGAAACGTGATCTGGGCCTGATGAAGGTGATTTCTACTTTGTAAACCGGATCACCAATAAAAATAATAAAATCCACGTTCTCCTCAATTATACTGATTCCTAAACACTTCAGGACAAAACTGCGGTCAGTTTCTATTTGTTCTTACAGTGAAACAGTGCTTTTCTGTTGGAAAGAAACGCCGCTTTGTGTCTTAAGATATTTGTTTAAGCTATTGTCATTTTTGAGAGCTAAATGATCTGTTACATGTCAATGAATTAAATTGGTTTTAGTAAAATCAATGCTAACCGACTGTTATTTGGTTATTGCGTGGTGTGATAGCCTCAGCTTTCGGTGTATAAACAACTGTAAGAAGGCGTTGGTGTCCGCCCGTTAGCCCATTTTCTTGAATTGTTTGGACTCGGTCCACTTAAGCAGGTAACTTTCTATGTACCGTGTCTGTATGAGAAAAAAAAAAACCGCCACCTGTTTTTCACATGAGTTCAAGTAACTCGTGATCGTCTACGAATCCGTGTATTTCGTGTCTGAACTCGCAAACATTTCTCAGGGAGTTCGAACGAAGCTCTTCCTTTTATTTCATTCTGGCAATTTCAACTTTCGCTCAATTGTGAATAGCATAAATGCTCGCCTGACAGTTAGTCGTGTATTTTTTTTTGTTCTATGGTTATTAAGTGAAATAGTCCCTTCTTTTCTTCTGCGTCACCCAGTAATTTCCCGCCGGAAAAACCATGATTTTGATAGCTACATCATTGAGCTTCCTTTTCATTGTTAGTTCCTTATTTATAACAAAGTGGTGTAAATACGAAGCGTGATTTGACAAAGTAAACATGTAGTGTTACTTAAAATGGTCTGTCAATTTGCCAAATTTGTTGTGAAAAGTACTACTTCATTTCCAGTAATGTCCACGTTATGTACGGTTAGAGATAATATTCAACTAATTCCTTTTAATTTCCTTGGAGGTGAGTAGAAATGCTCTCTCCAAGATAACTAGGCGTGTAATTTTTTTCTCTGTTAAGATATTTGATTGACGAAAATATTTGCAAAGTAACGTGTACATAATCTGGGATTCGTAAATATAGCGAAAAATAAAGCAAATAGACCGCTTTGTAAAATTCCTTCGAATACAAATCTACAGTCTGCCACTTATAATGAAGGGATAAAACAATTTTTTTTTTTAAAAATAAATGACTGATATATAGTCCTGCTTGCAGAAAGAAGTTATGTCATTCCAAAAAAAAAGATCAATCAACTTACTTGACTCACCACCGTGCGATGTCTGCATTTCTGTGGAAGTCCTTGCCGTTGTTTTCTCTCGCGAGCTGTATGGCACAGAGGTACTGTTGCTTCGTCTTCGTTCCTCAAGCGCCTTTAGTTTATTGGCAATGGATGTCGAGGTGTCTTGCTTGGTAGAAGGGCTGCTAAAGGCGGCCAATTCGTGGCTTGTCTCACCTCCGAGAAGAGACTCGATGGAGAAGGGTGATTTAAATGGCTTCTTCACCTGCAGTTGTGTTTGGAACTGAGGTTCGTAAGTTTGTGGATAACTCAAGGAAGGTGTAGACCTAGGATGACAGCAACACTGGAAATAGCTGAAGTGATGCTCTGCATTGTACGGCTGCATTTTAACTTCTTATATCAAACTGCTCACGACGTGCGTATCGACAAAGTGATGACCGAAATGTGCTGAGCTAATTCTTTAATTTCTTATTTGGAATAAATTACTTTTAATTGGATATGTTATGACCAATTAACTCCCGTTTTCGGGAAAGAGGAGGTCCAACTATTCAGAAAACCTCGTTACAAAAGAAAACACGAAAAAAACAAAAAAACAAAACAAAACAAAACAAAACAAAAACATTGCGGAACTCAAACGCTGGAGAAATTGGCCGCAACTACGTACAAGCCAGAAATTAAATTTTCGACTGTTATTTAATTTACGTTTACGTTCTCAAAGAGCGATTCTGAAATTGCTGCTACAGTTGGTGACTGCAGAAATTTGTCGTTACGGCTAACAAAATAAACTTCCAATAATATCTTGATTTTATCTTTTTTCACTCGGACAATACGGGAGTCAAGCAAACGGGTGGCCAAAAAAAAGGAGTGCAGAGCGAAAACGGTCTTATGTGATTATCAAATTCTCTTAATAATCGACACGGCAATTATGTGAATCCATTTTGGGGAATTGCTGGTAGAAGTAGCATCAATAGTTTTCAAGACTGGATCAGGTTTAAGATCGAAACTTCAGTCCCCAATCGCTTAAATTTCTTCTTGAAGAACAATGAAAACAGCTCGCCTTTTTAACAGACAATTAGTCCGCGAGAGAAAGGTGTTTTATTGTGTCGACACCTGCTAATCTAACAATGCAGGGGGCTTCCCTCGTGCATGCATTAATAAAAGTTCAATTAAACAACGGTACAGAAACCCGGTAGGGCTGACCTAGTGAGATATGATAACACATCGATCAAGCGTTTTTTCAACGTCGTAGAAGTTGAAAGATTTATTTTCCTAGGCAACCTCAAGCGAAGAACATGTATGCAGACAATGAGAAACGCCTCTTCAGGTTAAACAAAGGGGTTTTTGTGATAGGTCTTGTTCGTTCAAATTGTACGGACGAAAGGTCGTTGGATTTTTACCCGACACGTGAAAAATTTTTAATGGTGATTTCTTGTTTGGATCGGATCGGATCGAGAGGAAAAGTATGAAAAAAAAAACTTAAATTATCGCATCTTTAAAAGGCATTTTTTCGGAAATGCGAATTAACGTGAATTTTATTTATGCCATCTGATTATCCCACATCCCGTTAATTTTTAGCCTAAATGCCTGTATCCCGACTAGAAGTCCAGATACAAATATCTACGTTTTATCTCTCTCGATATCTGGTTTTATCTGATCTTAATTTCCCATATCCCGTTAATTTGTTCCCTAAAATATCCTATATCCCGTTTATTTCTTACCCAAATATCCCGCATCCCGAAAGGTCCTGATAAGGCCTCACAAACGTGCATTATAAGTCCCAAGTTATGAATTTAAAATCGGTTGCATCCTATTTACAAGGTCAGAATTCCCTAGCCGTCGTATCAATAAAGAGTACGAGCATTGCATTGGCTTCTTTCTTAAGTAATCCACAAGGTTGAAATTCGTTTAAGAGTTGTTATATTTTCTTGGATCGAGTGGTCTTTCAAACGCCTTTTGTTCCGCCTTTTAAAACATCTGCTGTACTCTCAATCACATGCATGCATTTAACGAGACACTGATCATAAGACCATCTGGCCATACCTGCTACATTTGCCTATCCATGCAGCCATCGTATTGTTTTTTAAAACTGCTCGGCGTGCCACAATTGTTTTGGCCTTTTTTTTTTTTTTTTAACCAGACGTCAGCCTCCTTTATCTCTAAATCCGTTCGAAATTCATTTTTACGACTATAATAACTGGGTACGTTTGACGTTTTGACTTGCGAATTGAATGAAACTGCATTTCCTTGAACCAAGCCCAATTTCTGTCACAATAAACTGTGATATAAGTATTTTCTTATTGTGCAAACATGATAATAGTTTAGTCAATGGTTTTAACATTTGTGGTAAACAAAACTCACTGTTTTCGGTGGGGTCAGTCATTAAGTGTTTTGTTATACCTCCGAATTAAAAAATAGAACAAACTGCGAAAAATGATTTTCTTGAAGCCAGCTGCCTCACAGATTTGCCGCGATTTTAAGGTGCTCGATCTGAGAGTCATATGAAACATTGTAAAACTCATTGCTCACAAACGAGGACATTTGCTTTCGGTGATCGTTACGTGAAATAAGGATTAGGGAAGGTCAAAGCTAGATTGGCACCTGCGATGGGTGGTGCAGTTGCCAGCGGGAGTTTCCCTTCTATAGCGCATCCATGTCTCGGTTAGCTAAAGCCCTACAGCAGTTTCTTTGCCGAAAACCGCGGTGTTGAACCATTCTAGAGAAATACAGAAGATGTCGTTTGTTCCTTTGTGTTGCTACTATGTACTCTTTGGCAACAAAACAACCATGTACGTTTCTTCACGATTTTACCGTCAAACAATCGCATTTGTGATATGCATGAAATTAAAAAAATTTAAATCACTTTGTTTAAGTGTCGAAGTGTTTAGCACTACTGTGCTAATTATGGACACTGAAAATAAGCAAACAAATATTGTAAACTAAACAGAAGCTTGTTAAAAATCCCGATTAATGGGAGGCTGATCAGTTGGCTATTTACAAAGGCTGAAGGAGTTGAATTTGGGACCACCAAACACAAATCCATCTAGTGGCAGGGAGGATGATTTGAACCCGGGACCCCCGGATTACAAATCCAGCGCCCTAACCACTAGGCCAAAGTTTTGTAAAGTGTGACTTGCGATTTTCAAGTGCACTTGAGTCAAGTGCTTACTTGAAACTTAATTTAGCTTCTAGTGTGAAGCCAAGTACTAATGAGTCTTGACGTATGACACGTGACACATTCTCCTCCAATCGAAAAACGTATTTGAGTTGAGAGGTATAACCATGCAGCTTTCACCCTTGGAGTTTTAGATGAAGATAAAAAGAGTTCACCCTCCCAAATGGACTTCAGTTAGAATTTTTATAATACGTGGAATTTTTCTCACTTTTCATTACATAGGATCAATTGGGAAACAGACGCTTAAAAAAAAAAAACGAAACAAACAAAACAAACAAACAAATAGTTAAGGACATACGTCAGTGCTCAAAATGTTCCCACCTACAGATTTTTTAAAAACTTACCATGAAGTAAGGCAAAGATCAACTTTTGCCAAAAAGACAAAACAAAAATGAGGGTCACCATGTTCCTTTTCGAGATAACGCGCGTTGAGGACCATCCGTTTTTAAGGTTTTCCTTTTTTCAAGACGATGTTAGCTTTCAACTATCGGCCATATATGAAGCTACATTAGTGAAATTATAGATCAGGTAAATGTACTCAATTCAGCACAAATAAGTATATCAATTAGATGTTTGGAGCTGATGTCGTTCCTTGAGGTAGAAAAGACCTGAAGAAAAAGAATAAGTAATTGCGTTGCCCGTCAACATTCAAAAAAACCTTCGCTCACGCGAAAGCAGAAAAAGCGAATCATTTCAATGTAACTTCTCAGGGATAGAATTTTCCTGTTTTTTTGTTCAAATGGATAAAATCAGGAAAGGAATTGATTGACTGCAAGAAAAATGGGGGCACCGAGCATCCGAGAGAGTAGGGCTGCAGACGAAGTTAGCGCACCTGGTGCCAATCTTCATACTTAACTATTTTTCTTCCTTAGCGCGCGCTCTTTTTTAAGCGATGACGTATTGTGTGACGTCATCGCTTTATGCTGGCACGCATGCATTCCTTTGGATAGTGATTTCGCATAGTTTGTCGCACTTATGTCCACGCGCTTATGTCGCGCACTTTTCATTCCCCTGTGGAAGCGAAATGCACTCTGGGAGTTCCTTTGCTGCTTTCCTTTGCTGTTTGTAGATTCAGCGGAGTGCTTTTAATTGGAGATTTTAAAAGACGATTTAGGGGTGGACTGGTTTAAACAGTATCGGATAAATTTGCGTTCACGGGGAAACTCATAATAAGAACATGTCCTCCATACATACAAGTTTAGATAGACAAGCAAGTCGCACACGCGATAGCTGAAGGGTCTACATAAAATTTACGGATTGGTAGCACAGTTGTACTTTTGCCAGTCTTGAAAGTAA